TTCCTGGCTGCTGGTACCAAGAGTGTTGACTGTGGAGCCGAGCAAACTGAAGCTGTGAACAATCTCAATCTCTTCGCCATCCATCCTGATGCTACCAATTCGTCCAGTGCTGAGAATCCAATAAGTTTTTTTATTTCCTGACTGCTAGTGCCAAGAGTGTTGGCCATGGAGCCGAGCAAACTGTACTTATGTGAAAACCTACATTTGAACCAGGAAACAGTCCTCAGAATAGAGCAGGGAAACACTGCATGGTTCAAAATGAAGAAAGGAGTGCATCAGGGATGCATCTTGTTTCCATACCTTTTCAGTCTATATGCAGAACTGATTATTTGGGAAGCTTATTTAAGAGGGCTTTATGAGGAAGAATGTGGCATCAGGATTGGAGTAAGACTTATCAACAACCGCTAGGCCAATTGACAGCACCATTATAGATGGAGAAGAGATTGAGGTTGTTAATAATTACAGCTTGCTTTTTTCCACAATCTACACTGTTGGCACCAGCAGTCAGTAAATCAAAAGACGAATTACACTTGGAAAATCTGCTATCAGAGACCTCTCGCGAGTAATGAAAAGCAACGATGTCATTCTGGATACTAAGGTGTGCCTAATCTAGGCCATGGTTTTCGCAATTACTTGCCATGCATCAGAGAGCTGGACAATGACTAAGGATCACAGAAGAAAAATCTATGCCTTCAAATTTTGGTGCTAGAGAAGAGTCTTAAACATACCATGGATTTCCAAGAAAACAAATAGGTCTGTCTTGGAGAGGATAAAACCATGTTTTTCCTTGGAGGCTAGGATTTTGAAGCTCCATCTCACATGCTTTGGGCACATGGTCAGAGGGATTGATCCTTGGAGAAGGACATCATACTTGGACAGTGCAGGAGAGGAAGTCCCCAGATGATATGTATTGATACAGTTACAGGGACAATGGGAGTTTTTTTTATAGGAATTAGTTAGTCTGTCTCAGAACAGGACAGGGTTTAGAGCTGCTGTTCCTAGGGTCACTATGGGTCACAGGCAATTCGATGGCACAAAACAGATTTCAAAAGAGAGCTCAAGAAGAAAAGTAAACTATTATAATAAAATGTGCTAAGGCCCACAATTAAAAACCAGAAGAGAAGAACAACTAGGTATTTCTCAATCTGAAAC